TACAAAGTAAGGCTAGTTGCAAAAGGTTAAGTGAAACCTTTCGCCCATAGCTAGGCTAAAGACCATTCGAATTTCGGTTATAATAGTGATATATCGTGACTATGAGTTAAAGCCTCTTGGAGCTGAAATCCTTATTTGATGGAAAAATCAAAAGATTTGATTTCATCAAATATGAAGACAAATTGTGTGTTTACAGGAAAATAGTGGGAGCATTGTCGTAATCTTAATATTAAATGTAAGACCTATTATTAATAGAAAATGACATCTCTACATTTCAATTGTTGAAATTGTGATTGTTAGATGATTATTCATGAACGATATGGGAGAAGAAACTTGATCTATAGAGCTAGAAGAAGATTGCTTAACCCATCCTAATCTTCATTGATAAAATTTTGAGAAGATTTTATATGGAGAAATTGGTTTATTTTTAAGCGGAGTGTTGAAAAGTTTTCAAACATGAAATAACCGTTGATACAATAGCAGAAGCCTAATACATGATTGCTTTAGAAGTAGCAAAGAGTTGCAGTGTGGATCAAGATATTTATTAATGAGCTTGAAATAGTTCATAACATGATTGATCACATGCTATTGTATTGTGATAACAATGAATGATCCAAACAAGTATTAAGGCAGTATAATCTCATTAGAGAGATAATACATAGAAATGACATAAAGAGAATGACGAATTCCCAGAATTAATAATATTGTAGATCCACTGACAAAGAATTGTCACAGTACAAATATGATCGTCATGTAGACTCTTATGATGTTAGATACATAAGTGATTGGATCTAGTACAACTAAGAGTTTGTAAGTATTATGCCCTAGGTCCAACCGACTTTGGACATAAACACCTTTTAATATATAGTTGATGGGATTTTATGACAGATCTATTATTTAATTGAATTAAATAATAGAGCCCGTAGATTCAAATCTTAGTAATTTGTTAATTACAAAGAGTTGTGATTATGATATACAAATTACATATGATTGAGTTTTAAATCATTCGTGGTCGTAAGTAATGACGAGATACGGATATTGTTATTACAGATAGACCATCACGTGTGACATTTCTTACTTGTGAAGTAAGTAGTTGATCTCACAAGTTAAAGTGTGGTGACACTTGAATGAATACGTGAATGTTTTGTTTTATGGAATTGGTCCTTTGACTTAAGGTTGTCATAGTGCCTTATATGAGAACAGTCATGCTTTGACAATATTGAATGTTGCTTTGCCAAGGGCCACTAATACGGCATCACTCGAGTATGTCAAGAATCATATAAAGGTTGTGAATTACCAATAAATGATTCGTCACTCTTACATAGTAAGAGATTATGATCTGCATTTCATTCAATTAAGTCGATAGCAAAATCCTTGGCCAAGGTGTACTCAGAAGTCGAAAAGGAGTTTTCGAGTTGTATTGACTTAATAGTGATATAAAAGATATTATCAATAATTGAAATTGACACACTTTCATATCTCGTAATTGATCGGATTACATTGACGAATGGATTATAGTTTCACGGTAAACAAACGAGTTTGATTTTGTCATATCACGTGACCTTTCCCATCACATGTATTGTCATGACACATTGCTAGATGTCAATCTGGGACGGTGAGTATGAATTAGTGGAAAATTAATATGGTGTTTTAATTTATCAATTTTGATTAGATCAAAATAATATTTCATATTGTTAGGCATTATGATTGGAAATCTGATGAGTCGTACACAAAAGTAGAACTGAAAGATTGTGATTTGTCAATTAATTAATTTAACAACCGTTGGATAAATTAATTAATTAAGTTGCTTATTTATAGGCCAGAATTAATTAATTGAGTTCACGGGCCGAATTTAATTAAATTGGTTAATTAAATATTGGATCGGACAGGTCAGGTCCATTTGGGCTTATATAAATATGACTAGAATTGTCAAAATTTAAAGAGAATTCATTCTTGCTAACATAAGAAGAAAATCATAGTCCTACAATCTTGTTCTCTGTATGGATTATCGTTGGAGACTGGACAATTGAACAGTTGTGGATAGCGAATCAAGATCGTTGGAACGAAAGAATAGTAAAAGAGTTTGCAGATCTTGTAAAAAGTACAATTTCTATCACAATTTCTGTCTAAACACAAAGCAAACCTTGATAGGAATCGAAATTTGTTTTAAATTTCGCTGCGCATGTATAAGTAGATTCTCAATAGTTTTTAGGTTATGAACATGATCTTTTAGATTGTAATACAATCAAGATTCAGTCAGTTTGGTAAGCAGTGCATTGTGCTTCTGAAAAATGATAACCGTAATTTCTGCAGATCTACTCAAAATGTTTTAGTTTGCCTTCCTTTTTTTTTCACTCCATAATTGTTAACATCAGAACTTGTTAGGCATTCATCAAATAATTCCTTACAAGAAAGGCTTACCCTCATGTTGAAGTAAATGATATCTTCTTACATACCCAACATGCTTTGGGGTATACTTTATCAATGGACCGGTTAGGATTGAATTTGAATATGACATTTTAGACATATTACATGTCTATTTTGTTTAATCTTGTTAAATTCGGTCTTGTAGGGTGCGTTAAATATGATGTTACTGTACTTGTATACATGAACTTGCATTTGGCTTAACGTCTTGAATTTAATTTGATGTTGAATATAGGTAATTATTGAACAACTCTTTCAATAATTGTTGCCAAATTAAGTGAACTATAAACATGGGCAATAGGTTTCTTTCAACTTCATGGATTTCAATAATTGTAGCCAAATTGAGTGAACTACAAACATGTGCAATAGGTTTCTTTCAACTTCATGGATTCAAAATTCTTGTGGACTTCAGACCCTGTTCGCTTTCCTTGTGAATGCTCATTTTTAGTCAACAGTATTTATTCCCGGTTTGATTTGGTTAAAAATCATAATTTTTAATAGATTATGATAAAAGTTGATGAAATATGTCATTAAAAAGCTAATAAAAGAATTCATAAAATATGTAGTTAAAAATTAGTTTGAGAAAAATGAATTTTAAAAAATTGGCGCCATAGTTTTAAATATGGACTCAAGTAATAAATTTTCTTTCTCGTACACAAAATGAATATTATTGAATTGGGTTGTAAAAATCTCAAGTGAAATTTGTTTGGTGATGGAAGTCTAAATATTCTATACCATCGATCTTTATTATTTGAGTGATCCAATTTATGGACTTAAGAGTGGTATTAGGATTTTTTAACAAGAAATTTGGATATATGACTTGGAAGTTCTAATTATTGCAGTTGAATAAAACAATATGCTACAGGGATAAGACATATGCCACTGTTGTGAAATTGACGAGTGACTTGGAAAGAAAAAACTAAAAAACGAGTGATCAGATTGAAACAAAAATCGCATTTCGATACTATTCTATATTAAAAATAAAAATTAAAGGGTCACGAACAACATGAAATTTTGCAGCAAGTTGAGTTACTAACATTGTTTTTTACGACCCACGACAATAATTTCACTTTTTCTATCACTTAATAAATTGTTGAGTCGCAATTTCAATTTTTGGGTTAAGTATTATTTATCGGTCATAAGCACCTCCCATCCCATCCCATCTACCCACGACGACCACCACCACCGTTGCCTCACCCGATCATGCAAAAACATAACAACCACATCAATGCAAACCTACCACCACTACAATAACCACACACCAAACTCCAACAGCCATGAGCATCACCACCTCTAGAACCACCATCTCCAAAATTAACACAACCATAACACCTGCAAAACCACTGCAAGCCGTCGAAAAAAACCACAAAAACCTCCGCTGATGAATGCAACGCCGAAATAACCTGTACAAGCGGCACTATGATGCATAGATATAACCATAGAAACTTCCACAAGCGGCGCTGTAAAGTTCAGATTGCTGCTGTGATACGCAATGTTGGAGGAAAGTTGAGATCCACAAGCGGAGTTGTAATGCCTCAACTCTGCTGCACATCCACCGCCATGTACAAAGCGTCGTGCACTGACAACCAGAGTGTATGCCGCTGTGCACGACAAGATTTAATCATCCTTGTTGCTAGTGAACTTAAGCATCGTTCAGCAACGACGCTTAAGGTGATGGGTTCGAGAAGAGATTGTAAAGGGGTGTTTATTTTCATATCTGATTTGTGAATAATGAAACTTCATCCTTGATTTTTGAATTGTAATCCTTAAACACCTTGGACTATATAATTTCCTCATTAGTTATTAACTTTGACTTAAATTAAAATTTGAATTTTAAACCTTGTTTAATTCTCATTATTTACTAAATACATTTTTCTCTCTTTTCAACAATCCCCTTTTCAATAAAATAATATTACATGCAAATCAAAATTTTTTCCTTATTTTTCAACCATACATTCTCCGTAAATCTACATTTAAAAATGCATTCTTAGCCAAAAAATGGGACTCCAACATGCGTTTAATTTATACCAAACGGGGGCTTAAATCGGTGACATAGCCCACCATGGACCCGACAATCCCTCACAATCAGAAATTCTAAAAAAAAAAATGAAAAAGAAAACTCAATGGCTTTGGCTTACAAGTATCACACATCCTCTCTTTTTCTTTTCTATTTTAATTTTTTTTTTTTAAATATGCAAGCCACATGTATATGTCGACACAAATTTCTCCTTTTATTTTTAATTCAATATGAATTGAAATTCCAATTTTAATGGTTTGCCTAATTAATAATAAAACTAAAAATAGATTTCATAGTTCCATCTCTCATGTATTTATATATAATACGTTCATGCCTACTTTGGTATCACCTCCACCACCACCCTTTAGAGGAAGAACCAAGAAAAATGCAAGCCAGAACTTATCAGAGTACAATCCCACCAAAACTTCCACATTCACCGAAGCTACCTCCACTGGGAAAGTACAACATTTCAATACCTAGTAATGTTCCATGAGCCATATCAATCACTGCACCACCACCACCAATTCATGACGTTCCAATCCTAGATGTAGATGACACTATGACTGCCTTTTGGGACTACCGACTTCTTTTTATTTCACAGCGTGCAGAAGCCACTGAACCGATCAATCTCCGGCTAGTCGAGGGCGAAATACCGCTTGATTTTCCATCGGTAACGTATTATCTCACCAGACCGGGGCTATTCTCCGACGATCATGGCTCGACTGTGCACCCTTTAGATGGTCATGGCTATCTAAGAGCATTCACCATTGATGGATCAAAAGGGCAAGTCAAGTTCATGGCTAAGTACATTCAGACCGAGGAGCAATCCGAGGAACATGACCCGGTGATCGGAAAGTGGCGGTTCACTCACCGGGGACCGTTTTCTGTTTTGAAAGGTGGGATAATGGCTGGGAATACTAAGGTAATGAAAAATGGTGCAAATACCAGTGTGTTAAGGTGGGGTGGAAGGTTATTTTGTTTGTGGAAAGGTGGTGACCCTTATGAAATTGAATCTGGGACGTTGGATACTGTCGGAAAGTTCGATGTTATTAAGGATGATCAGAAAAAAATTCCCGATGACAGAGGATTTAAGGTTGATGATTAGGATGTTGCTGCAGAAATATTAAAGCCAATATTATAAGGTAAGCATAAATCATATTATATTAGTGAATATATTTTTGTATTATACATCGAAAACTCTCTGATCCTAGTCTCAAGTTAAGTGACCATTTTTTTAATAGCATGTTACACGTTACTTCGAAAATGATTGAATTGTTATATTGATTAGTATTTTAGAAAAAAAAATAGAATAGAATATAACAATTTTCATGTCACACATTAGTCCCACCAAACCTATCCCATGTCTAAGTTATTTGGATCTTAATAACGTAATGCTAGAAATATGAAAATTGTTAAACTATCCTCGACATTAGCCATGACATGGACGCACACCCTATAATAAATTATTATGCACAAATTAAAGCAGCCCACTTGTTACAGCCTTTGATAAATTATAATGTTGGATCAATTTTTGAAGACGTATTCAACATGCCACCCAAGAGACTGTTGTCCCATTACAAGATTGATGCTTTGATCATGTCATGTAATGCAGAAGACATGTTACTCCCTCGTAGTAATTTTACATTTTACGGTTAGTATATTTTCAATATTACAAATATTATTATTATAATAATCTGAGTTTGATAAAATAAAATGGTTTGTTTCCTTTTCCCTTGATTAATATCAGAATTTGTTTCTTAGTGATCGCAACCACTAACTTGAAGGCAAGACAGTGAATAGATTTCTTGTCCAATCTCAATTGAATATGTATTGTGTAAAATTTACAACCATATAAACGTATAAATAGTTGGAAAATGGTCTTAACAATGTAAGATGTAACTCATATATCTTTGAACGATTTTAATTTTGACCTAATTGCAGGTAACTTAAATAGTCAAATATGCGTCTACAAACATATTTAAAAGTACAAGGATTATGCTACATGTATATTAGGGTGTTCATAACGGTGTCCACCCCCTCTCACATAGAAGAAGACCCACGAGGATGAACATTACTATGGTCACCGTATTATGTACAAATAGCATATTTCAAGGTAGAATCGTCTTGAAGAAATATTTTTGGACGATAATATACTTGGTAGTATATTTAGGGGGTGTTTGATAGGTATTTTTATATAAAAATGCATTTTAGAATAGTAAATTGATGTGAAATGTGTGATTGAGAAATAAGGAAAAGTTTTTTATTTACGTGTAATATTATTTTAATAAAGAATGTGTGGTTGAAAAGAAGAGAGAGAAAAATATATTTTGAAAAAAATAGCTACTAAATGGGGCCTTAATTACAATTTCGTCATAAATTAAAGCCCAATACTAATGTTTTAAAATTCTTAAATTCTTTGTTTCCCTTCTTTATCCAACAAATGTAAATGTATAAATACATGAATATATACATTAATTGATTGGTGAATCTTAATATTTGGGACCTATCATGATCTTATTTCTCAATTAAATGATGTGTCATGTTATTGTAGCTAGTAATGATACTAAGCTGCTGTTTGACAACCATTTTTTTAAAAAAAAAATTTCCACATACGCATTGATGTGGACATCATCGTCATCAGACCATTTTTATCTTTTATTTATTTTAGGTCTATGTTTAATTGGGCTTGGCCCAAACCCAAGTTTATTATTTTGTCATTTATATGATTGTATCTTGGATTGAAAATTCAGTTTTTGATGAATGAAGATTATTTGTGTTGTTGTATGTTTCTCCTACCTTCCCTCTCTCTCTCATTCTTGTTGTTTCTCAATTCATCCTACATCAATTTTTGGTATTATAGCCAAACCTGGGTATTAGTTCACTACATCAACCTCTTACCATCAGTTTTGTGAGCTAGCAAGTTGTTCATCAACTTAAAGCTCATCCCGAAGTTTTGTTCTGACATCTTCTCAAATTAACCACCGTCTGCAGTCTTATAATCTCACCCATGTCCCGTTTTCCTTCAACTTCATATTTGGGAGAGGTTTGAAATTGAGATACAAAAAATGACTTTCAGTCAATTGCTTCAAATCTCTAATTTCTTCCACTACAGCCCACTATCCACACCACAACCCAACAATAGTAACCGCCAATAAACTCACAATAACTGTCAGATTCCAAGACACCACAAAATATACCATTCCAACAACTTAAACCCACCACAACATCCACTCACAAAAATAACCGCCCACGATCATTAAAACCATAATAACCCACCACACAAGCACCACCCAAGCGACTCATCACTTCCAATAATTCACTACCAACCATCTCCGGGAACACCAGGACCCAAATTACTGGGTCACAAATTTAATCCAATATTCTGTACAAGGTCACCTTCTAATATGCATCAGTAAGAGCCGCGCTGCCTCCACCACACTCCTTCTCATCACCATTGCTCAAATCAACCATCACTCTATTCCTGACAACACCTGCACATGCAATACCCAGTTTGTTGCCACTCATTTTTTTCATCTCGGAGAGACGACCCACCAATTCAACCACCACATCACTCCGATAGATCCACCCCATGCTGACATCGCCTTTCTTTCAGAAGCCCATCACGCCACCATCGTCTTCTAGGATCCAGAGCCAAAGACACGTCGAGTCTTCCAATTTCAATTTGGTTCCTTTCGACTGAACTCTTTTTTGCTGGGTTTTTGTTACACTTCTTATATGAGCCTTAGTTTAGGCCCCCTTTTTTGTATTTTGTTTTGTTTAGTAGTTCAAGTATTTTGTATTTAGTTTTGTTTTGGGCCCCTGTTTGTATGCCCATTTTTGCCCATTTGCTTAGTCAGAAGTTTATTAATTAAAAAAAAAAGAGTTAACATCGTTTTTCAAATACCTCTTTTATTCCAATAGATTGGACCTAGCTTTTTCAAACGAACGAAAGGAAATTCATTGTTTTAATTTATCCTCAGTTATATTGCTGTTTATCTTGAATTACATCAGTTAACTTTTGTGTTGTAGTCTTTACATAAAATTCACATGACTACACCCAATACTTGTTAACTCTCTTTGTGCTGTAGTCTTTACATAAAATTCATGTGATTAGACCTTATACCTATTAACTCTCTTGACTTGTCATATTTTCACCTTTACCCCCATTTATTTTACGTAATTATGTCGTTGACTAGTGTTTGACCCTTGCTTTATTATTTTACATAGATCGACAGTATCAGCTTGACACATTTGAATTTTCATAATTTCAAAAAAAATTAATTATTTAAACGTTGAAGTTGTTATTTTCATTTCTTGAACTAGTTGTTTATTGATCTCATCATTCACTGCATTTAGTTTGTGTTACATTGCATGCATTTGCGTAGTGGTCCTGTTGTCATACCTAATTCCAATACTGCGACCATGGACCCTTCTCAATTTGATGCCCTTACTCGACATTTAGCTCAACTCCAAGCTCAAACCGAGGTGACTGCTACTCATGAACAGAGTAGAGAATCAGCTGCGAAGGTGAACAATTTAGAACGAACCTCTCCCTTAATCGACGCTGATAACTCTGAAGCGTCTTATAACATACCCTATCGTCATCGACATGGTGGTTGACAGCGTGTTCGTCATGGACAAAGAAATGGGGAACAAGAGCGCAATCATGAACGAGACCATAACCATTATGGTACTCATTCACCTCCTCGCTATGAGGAGCGTTACTTTAGAAACATCAAATTAGACGCTTCTACTTTCGATAGCTGTTTAGATCCTAAAATTTTTACACAATGGATTAGAGACATGGATCATTTCTTTTAATGGTATGAAGTCCCAGAAGATCGAAGAGCTTAATTTTCCAGTTTGAAATTAACTGGTACTGCCCAACTCTTTTGGGAAAGTGTTGAGGACCTTCTTGAGAGGTGTCATGCACCTCCCATTGAAAGTTGGGAGGAAATGATGCGCCACCTTCAAAAGAAGTATTTACCACACTCTTATAAGAGCAACTTGTTGGACCAGTGGAATGCCCTCACACAAGGAAACTATCCAGTGACTGACTATGTTACTCAATTTGATGAGTTTCGAATGTGATGCCACATCGTCGAGGATGAAGCTATGACCTTAAGTAGGTTCAGACAGGGCCTAAGAGTTTATCTTCGACGTAAGCTTGTCCTTCGAGGTGTCACCACTCTTGATCACGCTTATTCTTTAGTTCGAGATTACAAGTCGATTGATAAGAATTCGTATGGAAGGCATAGGTAACTGTCCACCCATCTCATCGGCACCACCTCCTCCCGCCAAATCTCTTCTAGGACCTCCACCGTCTAACGCACTCCCTGCTTTAGACAATAAAGGTAAAGCTCCTGAAACTTCAAGGACTTCTTGTTTGCAATGCTTCAATTGTAAGGGCTTCGATCATATCTCATCTAGATGTCCTAGCCGAGCCTTAGTTATTAACAAGCGGAAGGATGTCGTCGATGAGCCTTTAGAAGATCAAGTCTATGAGCCTAACTTTGAAAAGTTTGACGATTTGGGTGATAATGAGGATACCTTCTTAGGTTGCCTTCGTACCCTTCCTGTAGGTCTAGGTCCTGCTTCTCTGGCCCTCGACACTTCTTGGTTGAGTGTTGTACGTTGTACCCTTACCAAACATAAGGATGTCGATGATTGGCGCTGTCATACCATTTTTCATACTTACATCAAGATCAATGATAAGGGTTGTAAGATTATTGTTGACAGTGAGAGTTGTATTAACGTGGTCTTTGTAACAACAGTGTCCCGTCTTGGGTTGAAGTCAATCCTGCACCGCCAACCATATAGTATCTCTTGGGTTAACACTTATTCTGTAGCTATGAAAGAGCGTTGTCTGGTGCCTATCCAGTTCCTTGAGTAAAATGATCATATATGGTGTGACGTCATCCCTATGGATGTCGGACATACTATTCTTGGTCGACCTTAGTTGTTTGATCAGGATGTAAAAATCCATGGGCGATCAAATTCATGTTCATTTATATCCTTTACCACCAAAATCTGTTGACTCATACCAAGCCAAAAGAATTGTCGAAAGGAAAGGATTATATGTGATTAGCCCTACAAATTTAAACG